ACTTCTGGTATGCCATGCTATCCCAGCTGGAGTGGGAATGGTTCTTTTATCAAAGCCACCTGGTCCTGTATCTCAGGAGAGTGCGCGACTCACGCGTGACCCCACTAGAGCTCTTCGCGCACGCAGCATCGCTTCAGCACCCTTCTGTTGACCAAATAAGATTTGCAGTAGTGCACGGCTACACCATGAATAAGAGCAAATCTCTTTACTATGGCAATGAAGCCCATCCGAGATTAAGAATTCATAGGTCAACAATTTACTTGCCAAACATTGAAAATAAAAATAACTCCAAATTTTTTGATTTTTGAAAACGCACTCCATCTGTAAACGTGCATAGTTGGTCTTTTTTTTTTCTTGTTTTATACGTTCTAATATCTCCAATTATGATATAGGGCATGAAGTTATAGCGCGTCTTGTCCAATGACCTCATTATATTGACGCGTGAATCGCATCACGCCCAGTACCTCATGACACATATCGAGGGCATGCATTGGCAGTGCGCCTTCCAACCGCATTCTCAAATTCACCGATCATGCGTGTTTGGATGGTGCTCAGCAAAAACAGGGAGTTCTCAACAGAGGCAGTGCTCCACCCGAACTCATCGCTCGATATTCTCCAGGGAGAGATCTTTTATGAGGAAGATCAGTGGTAACGTGTGGAAAACGTGTTATCACAACTGGATATGGCATTTTGTAAAGTGGGCGCTTCTCAAGACATCAATACGTATGTCTATATGATTTCCTAAGAAGGTATGACGTAAGGCGATGTAAACGCGAATGGGAAATGCGCAGATTGCTTTAAAATCTTACTGATTACGCTTGAAATCTATACTTTCTCTCGAAGTGTAGATAGGCTATTTTTCCCTTCAGCACTCCAATATAGCATTATGATCCTACCTTGGTACAATACTGACCAAGGGAGGGGAGTAGTCTACATACCTGGGACTTTGAATGGAGACCAAGATAAATCGATAGAGTTTTGAATGCTGTTTACGAAAATGGAATTTGAAACTGCAAAATGGTTCTCCCTAAAAAGTTATGGGGGCTCGAAATTTGCTTGACAGTAGTACAATTGGATATGCGAACTTAAGGTTACGTTATCAAGCGCCAACGTGGTCTAGTGGTAATGGTCTGGCGGGATGCGGGTTTGCTCCCCGACATCGTCGGCATTTTTGCGAAATGTTTTTTCATTTCTTCAAAGGCTCTATAATCCTCTTCTGACATTTGTCTAAGTGAACACCCTATTTCTGCTTTTACTTTCTCTCGTCGTCCAAGGAAGTATGTGTGTGTGTGTGTATGTGGAACCTTAATTGTGTGAGTCTATTTCATTCCTGACTTGAAGAAACAATTAACAGCAAGGTGCCAGAGTTTTTTAAGATGTTTGAGGAAAACTCAGCATTAATAGGGAAAGTTGAAAAAATTTATGCAGCACACATGTTGTTCACTAACTGCGCACCTTATACATGATCCTCCTCTACAAACGGAGACAAAACAGTCATTTGTCTCAATATTTAGTAAACACCCGCCAAGTGTGATACGTCAGTCTAGGTTTCCAACAACATGCCTTGCACGAAGTGCATTCCCGCTCGACCACTAGATTTGGAGCTTCGAAAATTTTTCAAGTTTGATAAAACTCCGAAATGTTGAAAACCCAGACTCACGTGTCACGCTTGGCGGGTGTTTATTGAATCTTGTGACAAATGACTGTTTTGTCTCCGGTTGTAGAGAGGGATCCTATCACTATAAAGCGCTTCGTCTGTCGTTCTGTTTGTACGTATGTATGTATGTATGTATGTATGTATGTATGTATGTATGTATGTATGTATGTCGCGAAATTCCTTAGCTCCTTTAGATCTGCTTGGAGAGACCAGGTCAAGCGTGGGGTGGGTGGGCCATGTCCCGTGAAGTATAAAGCGCACCTCAGCTTGACGAAGCCCCTCCCACAGTGGGCGTGGCATGCATCGAAATGAGCTGAACTGAGGACCATGATTTCAAATTCAGTCACAAGACGGCTTCAAAGCTGGGGGTAAAGGGGCTAGAGGTGTGCATTGGTAAGTTAGATCCAACCGGGGAGACCCACCCCCGATGGACGGAGCGTTCTCCGAAAATGCAATGCTTTATGAAAACATTTATAACTCGGTTTGGAGTAAGCCAACAGAGCAGGAAAAAGTTGATATGGGAGAAGCATTGTCGAAGGTGTCTCCAGCATAAATGACGTCAGCGGAGACCCGCCCACAGAGGGCGGAGCGTGCTCGAAGCTCACATCCCTTCTTACATTTATATACGGAAATCCATAACTCCGGTTCTCATGGACCTAGAGGGTTCAAATTTGGTAAGAGTACAGGCGGCATGATGGGAAAACTTATGGTGGGTGGCAGAACCAGACTCCGCTCACATGGGGCGGGGTCCGGGGAAAAATTCATAACTCCTGTCTCCATGGGCCTAGAAAGTTCAAACCTGGTAGGAGTACAGGCGCCATGATGGAAAAACTTATGGGTAGCAGAACCAGACTCCGCCCACGAGGGGCGGGGTTTGGGCGAAAATTCATGAATCCGGTAGAGGTCTATAATGAAAATCAGCTCATGTGGCCCCGTTTCTCATGGCTAGAGCACCTAGCGCACGCGAATGCGTGCGTAGCCGCTCGGTCATGCGTAAGGCGCCCAGTTAGTGAACAACATGTGTGCTGCATACATTTTTTCAGCTTTTCCTATTAATGCTGAGCTTTCCACAAGCATCTTAAACATCTCTGGCACCTTGCTGTTAAATGTTTCTTCAGGTCAGGAATGAACTAGAGTCACGCAATTAAGGTGCATAACCATACTTCCTTGGACGACGGGAGGAAATAAAAGCAGAAATAGGGTGTTCACTTGTACAAATGTCAGAAAAGGTCTAGAGAGCCTTTGAAGAAATGAAAAAAACATTTCGCAAAAATGCCGGCGATGGCGGGGAGCAAACCCGCACCCTCCGCCTATGAAGCGAGACCATTGCCACTAGGCCACCTTGGCGTTTGATAACGTAGCCTCGAGTTCGCATATCCAATTGTACTACTGACAAGCAAATTTCGAGCCCCGTAACTTTTTAAAGAGAGCCATTTTGCAATTTTAATTTCCATTTTCGTAAACAGCATTCAAAACTATCGATTTATCTTCGTCTCCATTCAAAGTACCACGGTAAGTAGACTACCCCTCCCTCGTGATTGACATGTTTCCTACGTCGATAAGCATCCTCTAATCACATCTGCGTTTGCTGTTGTTAACATGTTTGCTCTGGCGGATTTCAATCTTTATAAACGTTCGACTTCATATATATTATTCTAGGCGAATAGTAAGATTCACTCAGTTCGAGAATCTGAAGCTCATCCAGTGAACAGCGAAGTGGTCATACGCCTTGCTCATCAAATAAGCAAGAACTACTCAGTGTCGGCTCCCCTTTACTGGCAGCAAGGTCGGTGTTTCAAAAGTGTTGATAAAAACAAGTACCAAACGAT